CACTTTCATTCTGACCGAAAAAATTGTGCTTTCGTTGGACAAGCGCATAATGACGCGTATGGTCGAATTGATAATCGATAAACATATCGCCCAGTGTGAACAAACAAAACATTTGGCGAGGCGTTTGGAGGAAGATCGATATTCACGATTACGTTCCATAAACAAAACTGCCGATGCGCCGATGCCGAGGTACGGTGGTGTTACCTCGAGCGATGCTGGATCCGTCCCTTACACCGTGCGGCTAAATTGAATTCCCCTAAGCGGTATATCGGCTCTTACGAGCTTCAAAACGACTCACAGCGCGCTACCGCCCTGGCCCTAATTTCCACCCTTGATCGCTCTGCTGTCGACAGGAACGAGCAGAATGCAAAAAAGAAGCGAACCGAAAGAACGAAGAAAAATACGGCGATGATGAAAGATGAGTTTTCCACGATACGAATGAACTATTAATCTCACGCGCGCGCGCGAGATCGCTCCAATTTTCTGCTTTAAGGCAAGATATATCCGTAAAAAAAGGGGGAAAGAAAAATGGGAGAAAAACGGCGCCAGTGACACGAGAGCGGAAAGAAAGGTGGGCGAAATTAAGAGGAAATCGGTTAACGGATCATTCCCGCTCTTCCGCGTCTGTAATCTTCAGGATACAAAAAGTAAAGGATACACGCAGCGCCATGTGTAGCAAATCCTTCCCCGTCCCACCCCCTCCGCTACACCATCCGAGAAACGAGTCTATGCTTCCGATACTTGAAAACCTAAGACAGTCGTCGGCTAGTCCTAGTGATATATTTTAATAAATCATTACCGCGGATCTATTCTTCTTTCCTTTCTTCCTATCATAGTAGTATGTCGTCATAACTAATTATTCAGTTAGGGTATCTCTCCCCCCTTTACGTTTTCCCTTACACGAGTTAACCACGAGGGCTGTCACCCAAAATCGTCTCGTATCGCATACATTAAACCGAGTCTATAGTCTATCTCGTCTTCTCGCGGTCGACGTTGCGGGATAATCGATTAGGATTTCGCAGGCAGTGTTCGAGATCTTTTATTTATTAATTTTTTTCTCTCGTTCGGATGCGTTTCGAGCTCACGTCTCGACGAACAGCGGCGAAACTACTTTGCCTCGCTGGCGGGGCAGGCTACCTTCCTCTACGTCGCCGATCGATCGTTCCGCTCGCGATATCCCGCCGCATCAATCGCATTCACGCAACATACAGTAATCTTACAAATAATATATCTAACAACTTTTAGTTCAACTTAGATTGCTTTCCGTGATCACGCCTACTCCAACCCGAAGCGCGCCTTCGTGCATTCGCATCGGGCACGCACTTCTTCGCACTTGGCAAGACTGCGACCATCATTCACGATCGATACTTCCTTCCCACTCTCCATCACCGTAAACACGCGATTGACGTGACATGGTCCGCAAGGACTGCACGAAGGCGCTCTTAGCCAAAGTTCGTGTACTTTACTATTCTATCGTAATATTACGTTTGCTTTTACTCTTTTTATAACTTTCTTTAAATATGCGATAGGTAGGTTTACTATTCTTTACGTATCGATCCGTGACATCGTGCAATCGTACGCAAACATGCATGCACTCACTCATAACACTCTTTCAATCGCTTTTCTTTGCTCATCTTTATATCCAGACGTGTCTGCGATCTACTATTCGAGTCGTCGATTGATGACTGGAAAAATTTAAGGATGATTTGTAGATACAAATGGACCGAACGAATCGTCGAGGATTCACTTCCCGTTTCTTCTTCAAAACGCGAAAGTCGTGCATAAGAATCTTTAAAAGCGACGAAACTTTCATAAGGTCAACGGAATCCTTGTCGATCCGCGCGACTTCGAAACTAGCTCAGCCTCGATCCGAAAGTCTTTCGATTTTATCTCTAATGTGTATTCGGCCTTAATCTTACGTCAATAATACTATTCAATACTTGTTGAAGCTCATAATAAGTACATACTCGAGGATTAGATTATTGTATTATTCTCTTACATCTTCCTAGGTCTTGTTTAGGTACAACTCCGCTACTTCGGTCTCTCAGATTTTTCCAGCGATTTTCTTATTGGAGGTACTTCTCTTTTATCGCATACAATCTCGTATAGGTTGAGCCTTATAGGTACAAAAGGTGAATCGTCAATCGCGACGATCTCTGTACAGAAGTTAATAACAGCCGCGCCCATCAGGCATCTCCGCGCTGCTATATTACCGAGGATACTGTGAATGTTACAATATAAATGTCTATGTACAAACTTAAGAATAAAAGCGAAACTATCACCGACGCGATCAACTACTTGAGGGAACTAAAATCCGTGTTTAGAAAGGTGTCATGACCTCCCCTACTATTCTTTATAGTCTACGTGTATGTGTGCTGATTATGGCTGGCTGGGTGCTATCTCGATACGTCGATCGTTCGACAAACCGCGCTAAATGACCACCGGTAAACATTTGTTGTCGCGTTGATTATAAAATGTATGTCGAGATCTCCGAGGAAAAGTCGGACGGACGCTAACACGAACGCTATTTCCACTATAGTGCGAGTTTGCATATTTTCATGGACGATTGCTAAACGAGGACGTATGTATTTGCAAAATTAGCGATGAAGCATGGTAAAATTGAATTTCTGTCATTTTCGTATGTGTCGAAAAATATCCGTTTGCATCTCGTTGAAAAACATTTGTTTATTCAGAGATCGAGAGATATTTTTTTTGTGGCCAATCAACTTGACTGAATGCGGATAGTCCAAATATTAATAATAGATTAAAATCATGCCATTGCTTTTTAGCAGTAAGTCTTCTCTGTCGTTTTTATAAAAATATAACGCTATTATCTATGTACAGATAATCACGAAGTTGGAAACGCTCGTTCCCATGTCCGAAAGAAGCTCTCGAGCAGTATAATAAAACAGAGCGTAACGAAAGTTAAGCGGTAATAAAATAAAAAAGAAAAGTCTAATCTAATCTAATAATCAATGTATTTGATATCTTAAGATAAATCAAATATAACAGCAAATATACCAAAATTCCAGTTTTCGGGCGAAGCAGACTTCACGGATGCGCGCTAGGCTTTTCAATGCCGAAGCATGTACGTATTTCCACGTACATGCGGATAAAAAATGCAATGCTGGCTCCGATAGCCCGCACAACCTCAAGTCCGGAAATCGTCGAAACGATCGCTCGCCTCGATGTTCCCCAGCACCGCGTTTAGTTTTGTTTGGCGGTCGTTACTCCGGTTTACTCAGCGATACCGCAGGATGCAACGAGAGATCTCTCCGGCCATGTTCATCGAAAACTTATAAGCAAACATGTATATCCTCTACGCTAATATTAGACTTATCTAAGCGGAAAATGTGTACACGTGACTCCCAAGTCCGGTATTATGTACAGTGCACGGGCGCATACATAACGATCGCCGTTAATCGCTCGTAACGCGTTTCTCTTGTGCACGCGCGTGTGTGTCTGTTCAGGAAAGGATCGGATAAAAAAAAGAAGAACAGACGGGGTTACGTGAGTTTGAAAGAAATGTATAACGTGGATCTGAAACCACAGGTCTTGTCGGTTTCCTTTGAAAGAAATAAACCCGCGTAGCACCTTGATTCGAATGGAGGGAACGGGGGAGGAATATTTAGTTCTCGACGATAATGATGCATCATAAAGGTACTCGTGGTGATGGTTCCTCGAATTGGAGTATGTCGATTTTTTTCGAGGGTTCCGCACGACACGAAACGACACGCGAATACGACGCGCTTTTGTCGACATAATGCGAATGTGCAGGGATAAAAACACGGCGTCATCGTGCTCGTTTCGCTGTACGTTTTATGTAGGTACGTGAAGAATAATGATGATGATCAGAACGGCACGAAGGTTCTCGTAAACAAAAGATAACAGGTAGTAGCTCGCGATCGTCGAGATGTGATATATGAAGGGAAAAATGAAGGAAAATGCGGAGGTGCGCAGGGATACGAGAGCTGAGGTGGATGGATCTAAAGGGTGCAGGTAGAAAATAGGCGTGTGCGCGCCGCAAAAGCGGCGAACGTGATATGGAAAGCTAACCAGCGTCGCGCGAGTGCAGCAGCGCAGTGGCGGCTCGCATGAAGGTCTCTAAAGCCGATAATAATCTCATATGTAACCTGCGTGACGTCGTAAACGCGCGGTTGATCACGTTTCGTTTTTCTTTTCTCTTTTCACGACGTTTTACCTTTCTTTCCTTGTCTGACGCCACTGCTTCCTCTCAGCCTCGCGGGCTGTTTATGACTATTCTCCAATCGATGCTTCCACTCTCATTATAGGAAAGCTCCATCTCGACTTCGTTTTGTCGCTTTTATCTTCCGGATGTGAAAACAACTGCAAGGTAATGCGTCATTCTTCTTTTGACGTACCGCTTAATATTGATGTTTTATCGGTAATCGATATCTTGGTCACGATGATATCTCGATCAACGTTGCATCGTCTTCCGTAAATGAGGCTTCAATATCATATGTACACATAAAATTCCCTTCTCGCAAAATTAATTATAAGTTCAAGGAAACTGCGCGTTTCTCCATGCAGCATCGACCGGTCCAGATGAGAGGAATCAGGACTTTATTCATGATTCTTCGGCACAAGAGGTATCGTTTATTCACCCCGAGGAACATCACTTCGTGCGATTGCGCAATCGAAATTTACGAGCCGAGGATTCTCGCTGTCCCTGCGCTTCTTTCGCGGCGTCCAGCGTCCGATCTCACTTTCGCGGATCACACACGACATGTTTATTTACAGCGAGACGAATACGATATATATATATATATATATATATATATATATACACGTAACGGAAAATCGGATGCGCGATGAGAACGGAACTGGAATGTTCTCGCGGGTCACCGATCACCAATAAACTCGATAGTCACTCGCGATCGGCAGCGCCGACGAGAAGCTCTCGGACACCATAGCACGTGGATAGCAGTATACACGATCGATCATACGTTCTTCATACGTTTTATTCAGTTTATTGGTTCGCGAATCGCGGACCGATTTTAGTCACTTAAGAATCCTCAAGTGACCAGCGGGCCAAGCGCGGTGGCGTGACCGGCCAACAAGAAGGCCAGGCCGATCCAACCGGTCGTGGTCCAGCCGCGATTCCTTGGCGGGACGCTTATGCGTATCATCGTATCATCGTAATCTCGGCTCGACGAGGGACCCAATGATCGGCTCCATCAGACGAGGGGCGTGCCGTACACCTCGTTCGTGTGTAAATTCTGATTGCTGTCGTTCTGCCTCGAGGCGCATTGCTGCAACAGAGAAAGCACGTCGATGCTATAAAGGGAGTTGCATCTCGATTCTCGAATGTATTGTATTAAACAACATTGTTGCCTCGTATACTGTGTACCACGTGTTCGAAACTAGAGATGATCGCTACGCTGCGTGAAATCAATTCGCGTAAGTAAATATAAATAAATTTCACAATCATGACTGATTTTAATGCAGTATATATTCATGTAAATTATAAGAGATTATTATGAACTCATCCGTCATGATATACGATATAATAAAACATTAATGATCGCCTTAATATGAGCGCAAATATTTATATAGAGTAAACGCGTAAAATCGGCTAACCACATTAATAATTCTGTCGTGCAAATTATATTGGTTTTGTTTTATACGCTAAGAGTTGTCGTTGCGTAATACATAAAAGATTACGAACGATTTTGAACAATCACAGAGTAATTCTCATTTGCCGGCTATCAAATGCAATTATATTTATCGATACACATTATCGATTTACAGCTATACGCCCGTAGATATATTTTCCCACAATAAACTTTATCTCATATCGAGTAATTTCATGATAAATATTTAATTTTCGTCCATCCGTTTCGATGCATATAAAGATAACTGAATATACGTAGAATTTGCTGAATTGTACATCGTTTTGCAATGCAAAATTTGAATGGCTCGATTACGGTTTATGACAATCCCATAAATATATA